GGCCAAGTAGAGCAGCAACGGTTTCCCTAGCCCCAGGGCTACTAGGATGGGGGGGAGGTGAGGTAAGCTTTCAGCTGATTGAGAGCTTGCTTCGCTTCCTCCGTCCACACAAACGGCCCGAGGCGTTTGAGGAGTTTGAATAGGGGCAGCGCCCTCTCTCCCAGCCTCGATATGAATCGACTTAGGGCGACCATGCATCCCGTGACGCACTGCACATCCCTAAGTTTGCTGGGGGGTGCATCCTCTCTATCGCGCGTATTTTCTCTCCTCGGGAGAAGACTAGAAAACCGAGTTTGCCCGCCGGCACACCAAACACACACTTTTCGGGGTTCAGTTTCATGCGCGTTGACCTAAGGCTGTCGAAAGTCTCAGCCAAGTCCTGTAATAACGTCTCCTGGTGGCGCGTCTTTACCACCAGGTCATCGACATACGCCTCTACATTGCGCCTTATTTGATTACTCAAAGTAATGCGAGTCATGCGCTGAAAAGTAGGACCTGCGTTCTTAAGACCAAAAGGCATAGTTGTATAACAAAAGGTGCCTACAGGAGTAATGAAAGCAGTTTTTTCCTCATCTTCCCTAGCCATGCGGATCTGGTGATACCCAGAGTAGGCATCCAAAAAAGACAAAAGGTCGCACCCCGCAGTGGAGTCGACTATCTGATCTATGCATGGTAAAGGGAAGGGATCCTTAGGGCATACCTTGTTGAGGTCCATGTAGTCGATGCACATCCGGAGCTTGCCGTTGGCCTTCGGGACGACCACCGGGTTTGCCAGCCACTCTGGGTGGATGACCTCTCGGATGAAGCCGGCCTCCAGGAGCCGCGTCACCTCCTCTCGGATGAAGGCTTGCCGCTCCGGGGCTTGGCGTCGTACATTCTGCCGGATGGGTCGCGCATCCGGCCGCACGGCGAGGCGGTGCTCAATCACCTCCCTAGGGACCCCGGGCATATCCGACGGCTTCCACACGAAGACATCGGAGTTTGCCCGCATGAAGGAGACGAGCGCGCTTTCCTATTTGGCGTCCAAGGTACCGCCAATCTTGGCGGTCTTGGACGGATCATCGCCAAGGGGAATCTCCTTGACTGGCACCTCGTTGGCCGAGGCAAGGTGCTTCTTGGAGGCGTTGGACGCAGAGGCCTCCGGGACCTGCGGCTCCATGGCTGCCGCCAGGTTGTCGGCGCGATGCTCCGCGCAGGCGAGAGCGACCTTGACATCGCCAAAGACGATGATGGGGCCGCTGGGGCCCGGCATCTTCATTTAGAGGTAGGCGTAGTGGGTGGCGGCCATGAACTTCACCAACGCAAGTCTGCCCAGGACCGCGTTGTAGGGCAGATTGAGGTCTGCCACGTCGAAGTCGATCCGCTCGGTGCGGAAGTTGGTGGAGTCGCCGAAGGTCACCGGGAGCTCAACGTGACCTAGAGGCCACGTGTGACCCGGGGTTACGCCGATGATCGGCAGTGACGGCTGGAGCTTCATTCTCGGGGCCTTGAGCGCGTCAAAGGCAGCCAAGGAGATGATGCTGAGGCTGGTCCCCCCATCGACCAGGACACGCTTCATCTTGACGTTGTGGATGGTCGGGGAGACCACGAGGACCAACTTCCCTCCCCGAGTGAGCACCGTCGGATGGTCGCTCTGGTCGAAGGTGAGCTTTACCTCTGACCAGCGCGCCTTCCGTGCCGCCTTATGAGTCGGGACGGCGGCCAGAAGCTCACGCCTCATGGCCTTGAAGCCACGGCGGGAGGTGTGAGCACAAGCTCCCCCGTCGAGGGTGGCGATGGTCCCCTGAGGTATCTGGAATTCCAGATCCTCACTATCATCGCCGTCGTCGGCAGGGGCCTTCTTCTTGGCCTCCCCTCGCCGGTCATTGGTGGGGGTCGCGGGTGCTTTGCCCTCCCGTCAACTCTGCCGCTTCTCCTCATCGGCTTTCCGAAACCGCTCGTCCAAGTTCTTGACCGAGCGGCAGTCGGCGAGGCTGTGCCGATAAGTGTTGTGCACCGAGCACCACTTGTCCGCCGACCGACCTTCACCGGATGGAGCGGTGGAGCTCGGCCTGCCGCCGGTGGCTTTTTCCTTGCGCGGGGCCCGTGAGGGCCCATCGGCCGCAAGGACGTGGCCCTCGTCATCGGAGCGGGCCGGCTTCCTTTTCCCCCTCCTATCTTGCCGCTTAGAGCGGGGAGCGGGCTCGGGGACAGCCGCACCCGCCGCGCCAGTGCCGGGGGAGTTCCAGGCCCACGCCTCCTTCCGAGCCACCTTGTCTGCCAGCTCGAAGTGCTCGGCGGTGGTCTTGGGCTCCTTGAAGGCAATTTTCTCCAGCATGTGGTTGTGCCGCACGCCATTCCAAAACGTATAAACGACCGCGTGCCAGAATGCACGGAATAGTGTTGCGGACCTGGCAGAAGCGCTGTATATACGAGCAGAGGGACTCATCGTCCTTCCGCTGCAAAGCATGCAGGTCCGCCTCCTCTCCTGGGCGGGGGTACGTGCCTTGGAAGTTCGTAATGAACTGCTGGCACAGGTCCTCCCAGGAGTGGATGGAGTTGAGGGGCTGGGTCATCAGCCAGCCGCGCGCCTGACCCTTAAGAGCCATGGGGAAATAATTCGCCATGACTCGGTCGTCCCCCCCCCCCCCCCCGCTCCGCCACGATGATCGTGGTATAGATCTGGAGAAACTCGGAGGGATTGATGCTGCCATCATACTTCTCCGTAAGGTTGGGGCGAAACTTCGGCATATAGAAGATTCTAAGTCACATCACCGTTAGGCAAAAAATGACAAAGAAAATAATGATTGACGATGTTTAGATTTTTTTTCCATAATTACAACACCGTTGGGCAGAAATAATTAAGGAAATAACAATCTTAATGAGATCATCTTTCTTTCTAGATAAACTTCTTGTTGGCTCCATTAATCTAGAAATAATTTACTCAGTATTGAAATTGATCTTAAATAATAAACATTGATAATTGCATATAATTAGTTTACCTTGGCTTAATCAATCGTATGCAAAATAAACTTAGAATTTCATAGTCAAAGCACCATTGGTCATAAATAATTATGAATAATCTTAAAATTAATTCCTTAATTATACCCCATTGGGTAGAAAATAACTAAGGAACAAAAAAATTATAATTAACATGAAATTATAATAACGTGGATTAAATATAACTTCACATCTTAATGCTTTAATTCTAGTCAAATTTCTCATTGGTTCCATTCGACTATAAATCATTAACTAAGGAAATAACCATTATATAGATCTTGACATGAAATCATAATATTGGTGAAAGAGGGGAATTTAACTATTTGCCACTTTTAGATTTTGGCAATTATCCAAATGCCCTTTACAGATTTGCACTTTTTTTTTGCCCCTCTTAAGAGGTGGTTTCTTAACTATTTACCACTTTTGCCCACGTGACATGCCAACGTGGCAAACTTGGGGTGAAAAATAGTGTGGGACCCACTTGTCAGTCTTTCCCTTCCCTTCATATCTCTCGGCGGCGCCGCCTCACAGCCGAGCCGACATTGTGAACGGAGCTAGGTAGTGGGCTGGGCGTGGGCGTTCATCGGGCCCGTGTCACCGTCCTTGGCCTCCGCCGCCGCTACGGTGGTGGTGGAGGGTTGGCGGCGCCACCATTTGGAGTTGGCGACGACGGAGGTGATGCTGGGGAAATCCGGTTCGGACGAGTGCATGTATGCGGAGAACGGGTGGCGCGAGCGCCAGGAGAGCCCACCACGATGACGGTGAGCGCGATGACGTCGAACACGGCGTAGAGCCTAGGCGTGGGCTGGCGAGGATGCGGGGCATGCAAGGCGTGGCCAGCAGCCATGCACTGGCATGGCTACAGCGGGGTGTACCACACGCGGAGGGCGCACGAGTGGGTATGGATGTGCAAGGTGTGCAAGTTGGCGCCCGCCGCCGTCACCTGGAAGGTCAACGCCGCGGTGCTATGTGCTGCCTGCGATGCCAACATCCACGACGCCAACCCGCTGGCCCGGCGCCACGCGCGTCCCTGTCACGCCCATCGGTTCAGCTGCTGTGGCAGCCGAGGCCGTGATGTTCGGTAGCAGCGATAGCAGCACGGCGCGCTCAACCTCAACCTCAACCTCGGCGTCGGTGTCAGTGTCGGCGTCGGCGCACCAAGCAGTCCTAGAGCTCCTACACCACCACCAAATACGGCGCAGAGCTCGCGGATGGCGTGGAGACGGTGGAGGCGACAGCGATAGGCGCAGGAGCGCCGAGGGATAGCATATGATCCTCTCGATCCTGGGGCTCGCCAGGATAGTAGCGGCCTCGGCGTGTGCTGGGTTTCTCGGGCACGTCGGGATGGACTCAGGATAATAGCGACGGCCATGGGCGCGTCGGGATGGGCTCAGGACGGCGGCAGCCACCATGGGCGCGGGACGCGAACCCGAGGAGAGAGATGAAGTGGAGGAAGAGATTGATGAGTGAGTCCCACACCATTTTTCACTTGAGTTTGCCACGCTGACATGCCATGTGGGCAAAAGTGGCGAATAGTTAACAGACCACCTCTTAGGAGGGAAAAAAATTATAATTGCCAAACCTAAAAGTTGTAAATAGTTAAATTCTCCAAGAAAAGATGCTTAGTAATATCATGCATAGTAAAAAAAGAATATTGCTTGTTTCCTCTCCAATTTTTTTTAAAGTTATCTTTTGTTAGGATTAATTTGTTTATAAATGAACCACATAAAGACTTTTTTAAATCATAATTTTGCAAATAATAGCATATGCATGCCCATGGATCTAACAGAATGTGTGAAGCAGATTAAAAGCAAGATGAACACATCTCCTAAACCGCTACATGTGCCGCATAGGTTGTGTATAATAATCGTTCGCAACAAAAAGGAAAATAAAAACATTATCTAAAAAAACACTCCAGAATTCTAGAATCACCGATCATGTTGGTGCGATCGTGACCGTCCGACGCAGCCTATCTACCAGAACGAGTCGGAGTCGGACTCACCAATCCCCCAAATAAATCCACCGACCACCGCCAAGCGCCAATTCTCCAAATCCGCCGCCAACCAACGCGCCTGCTCCTCCCAAATCCAAATCCTCTTCTCCCATCCGCTTCCTTCTCCTCCTCCCCCGCCCATGGCGTCCTCGGCGGTGGCGAGCCGCAAGCGCGCGGCGCCCTACGATCTGGAGCCCCGTGCCTGCTGCGGATCCTCCCCGGCGAGCGGGCCGAAGCGGCGGCGGTACAACTTCGGGAGCGCCGATGACTACGAGCGCCTCGACGTGGTCGGCCAGGGCGCGTTCGGCGTGGTGCTCAGGGCGCGGGATCGCCGCACCGGCAAGGTCGTCGCGCTCAAGCGCCTCATCGGGGCGGACGAGGGCGGCCGCTTCGCCCCCGACTTCGACGCGCTCAGGGTGGAGGCCGCCTGCCAGCACGCCTGCCGCGGCCACCCCAACATCGTCCAGATCAAGGACGTCGTCGCCGACGCCAAGACAGGTGACCTCTTCCTCGTCCTCGAGTTCGTCGGAAGCAGCCTCCGGGATGAGTTCCCCAGGGCCCACCCGGAGGACATCGTCCGCGCCATGATGCGGCCGCTCGTCGACGCCGCCAAGAAGATGCACGCCTCGCGCGTCATCCATCGGGACATCAAGCCGGAGAACATCCTTGTCAGCTTCTCCGGGCAGCTCAAGATCTGTGATTTCGGGGCCGCCACGCTGATGAAGCCCGCCGGGAAGCCGTACGACCTGTGCCGCCCCGGCACGCTGCCGTACACCTCGCCGGAGCAGCTGGCCGGCAACCGGTGCTACGGCCCCGCGGTGGACATGTGGGCGTTAGGATGCATCATGGGCGAGCTCCTCACCGGCGCGCCGCTCTTCGGAGGCGACATGACTGAGGAGGAGCTGCTCGCCGACCTGTCCGCCAACCTGGACGACCAGCTCAACGAGCTCTTCTATGATGTCCTGCCGGAGCTGTCGCCGGCGGCGCGCGAGGTCCTGTCCGGGCTGCTGGCGTTCGACCCAGAGAAGAGGCTGACGGCGTCGGAGGCGCTGGAGCACCGGTGGTTCGCCGAGGAGCCCAAGAAAGCAGAGTTCCCTGGCTTCGTGCCTCTCTTCGGTTAGTCTGTCAGTGTAGAGTGTTGGTTTCAGATTGTCAGTCTGCATGTAACTTACTAGAACTGTTAGTCTGCAGTCTTGTCTTTAAATTAGAACTGATGATTGGTAGTCTTGTTTAGGACTGATGATTGCATTAGCAAATCGGCATTGCAATCAGTGTAATCTTTTTATTCCGATTTATTCATAGTATGCATATTTATGTAATCTTATTCAATTTGTATAAAGCAATTCTTATGTAAATCCTATTCAATTTGTACAAAGCAATTCAAGGCCCTATTTATTCAATAAAATTATCAGACTTTTTTCAGCTTGGTGAGTCCTGCTTCATGAGTGCTTGTTTGTTAATCTTCAGGAAAAGGGTATAGTTTTGCGATTTGAGGATTCTTACCTTGATTCTAAGCATATACCAAGAAAATGAAATACAGAGTGATCTCAAAAAGGAAAAACAGAAGGGAGAATCTGAGTTTAGGTTGTTTCAGACAATAGACTCATTTGTCAGAATCTGAGTTTTTGTCTGAAAATAGAGTAACAGACTTTATACACTTTCATTTATCATATATGGAGCCTTTGTTTAACGAAAAAGAGAGAAGTGTTAGTTCTTTTTTGTTTGTTTGTTTGGACTCCTCAGTAAGTGGCAATTTAGTTTTCATCAACTCTCAGTTCTTCTGGAGTACAGTAGTATCCTTAAATACTTCGTGTCCTGTTTTGCAATATTCAGAATCATATCAGGACTTCTTTTGTAAGGATAGTTAACTGGAAAGTGTTATGCCCCTTAAGATCATAGTTAGTTTGGAGGTCAGTATTCTTTTAGTGAACTGAAGCATAAAACAAGTGGCTATAACACTGAACATCATCAGCTTCTTCAGACGACATGGAGCGAAGCCTAATCCTCCTGATCTTCACCTTCACTGAAATACTCCTCTTCTGATGAATGAATATTGCAAGAATGAGCATATAACATACTCAACAAGCCACACAGCAAATATGCAAGTGCACAGGATAACAAAGGATGGCATAAAACAGCTCATTTGCAGAAAACAGCATTTAACAAATATTTAAGAGAATAGTAAAACAGTTGAATAATTAACCAATATTAAATAAACACCATACAACACACCCGTGTTGCATAGGCCCAACCACATTTGAACAACCAACCCCAGTTGAACAAATGAAACCTCCAAATCAGGAATTAACCATTCCAAACCAGGAATTAAATTAATTATCATATCATTACCATTGATGAGTAGTGTGAGACTAATCACGAAAAACATTGCTCAACTCACCCATAACCGCAGGTACGGCTATTCGAATAGATTAAACTCTGATCAGAGGTGTACCACTGTACCCACAAGACACAACCCCACATCATGTCACCATGTGCCTCAATACCACCACGGTACCTCGGAAAGGAGTCGTGACAATACCCCTTGCACAACATAACCCATTACAGCGCACCTTTCCTGGATCATAATCACCCCCTTATAAACAAGGCATGGACTCCCCAGCGACCCCCACGGACTTCTCGCCGTTTCACAGTCTGGCGCACTATAATGAATCACGCTATACAAAAGATAAAGCCGTTGCCCACGCTGGCTTGTGGTTGGCACGATAAATGTTTCACAACAGTAGCTCGCGAACCGGTTCTTAATTGTCATGAGCACAACCATCAAAACCATATGCTCACAACCCACCTTAACCAGGTTTAATTATCAATTAATTAACATCACACGATTTACCATCGTGAGCTACCATTGAATATAACCTTAATTAATAATAATTATGTAATATAGTTTATATTTAACCCCTTTTAGTTAGCTAATGTTTCTAAGCATGGCTAAGCAAACCTATATATAGCATTTAGCTGAACCAATCCAATATATAAGGTTCATGCTAATCAAATTATAACCCATAGGAAAATCAAGTCAGCTTCGGCCATTAATTAACTGGGAAAGGTTCACCACCCGATGACATTCGAAAACAATGCACAGTTGAAATAAAATAATAGCTTTAAACGGGTTCAACATGCTCAAAGGGTTGTTTGGGATCTGTGTGACTTGCCTTGGGCTTCCGCAAACGCTTCGGAACCTTCCTCAACGGAAACGCTCTCCTCCGGAACGTCGGAAACTAAAGCAAATAAACAAAATCAACAAAACAGTACAAAAACAAGCATAAACAGTACATGTGGATATTTTTAACATGTAGATCTTGATTATAGAAAAATTTAGAAACTTGAACCACCTAAAACGGATCTACGGTTATTTAGTTATGATTTTCCAAAGTTTTAATCTATTAGAAAATCGGAAAAAAGAAAAAGAAAAGGAGACGATGACGTCATGCTGACGTCAGCCCTGATGACGTCATGCTGACGTCGGCAATGGCGGCCGGCTCGGGTTGGAGAGCTCGCCGGAGCTAGGACGGTCGGCCGCGGAATCGGAGGGCATCTACGCGTAGAGGACATCGAGACGAACCCGATGGTACTCACCACGACAACAAACGGTGCACGACGGCGGCCGGCGACGAGAAGAGGCGGCGCGGCGGCTCGGGTCGACGGCGGCGAACGAGCTCCGGTGGTCGGCGGCGATGGAGAAGGGGCGGCCGAGGTTCCTCACCTCCGTGCGCACCTAACGGCGGCGACGGCAAGCGGCGGCGACGGCGGAGACGGCGGCGCGACGCGACCGAAGACGGCCGGCGGCGGCGGCGGACTTGGCGCACGTGGCGACGGCGCTACGATGCACGGGAGAGGACGAGAGAGGGGGCAAACGGAAGAGGACGACGAGAGGATGCTATATATAGCATCGGATTGAAGAGATCGAACTCCAAACGAGAGGAATCGACTCGGGAAGAAATCAAACTCGGTTTTTAGGGATAAAATCAAAACGAACTCGATTCGGATCAAATCCTCAACGATTAGCTTCGATTCTTGGGGGAAAAGAAAGAGGAGAACGAGAGGAACAAAACCCCTCAAAAACCCGGAGGATTCGGGCTCGGATTGAGGAGGATCGGAGGTGGAAGACGGCGGCTCGGGCTCAGCTTGGCGGCGGCGGCCGGAGGTTGAAGATGGCCCTGACATGTGGGCCCCACATGTCAGCGGCTGGAGGAGGAGGGGGCGGGCGGCTTGGCTTGGGCCGGCATGGGCCGGTTCGGCCGCGCGGAGAGAGAGGGAGTATTGGGCCGAATTCGGCCCAATGACCAAAGAAGGGGTTTTTTGAACTTTTTCAAAAAAAACAATTTGTGAAATGTTGTTTCAATTATTAAAAATACTTCCCTTGCTCAAATAATTCCCAGAAAATTCTAGAAAATAGAGGAGCAAGCATAGTATTTAATAAAATTTTATCTAGCTCATTTTTATGTTGAAAATTTTCCTAGAAAATTAGGGTTTAGCTTGTAGGCTTTTAATTTAATTTCTAAAAATGATTTAAAATATGCATTTTTAATTTTAGTCGATTTTTAGGGCGTGACAAACCTACCCCCCTTAAACGGAATCTCGTCCTCGAGATTCAGAAGAACTGGCGAACAGATGAGGATGAGCTGACTTCAATTCATCTTCTCGCTCCCAAGTGGCTTCTTCTTCTGAATGATTACTCCACTGAACCTTACAGAACCGTATAACGCGATTCCTGGTTTTCCTCTCGCTTACTTCCAAGATTCTGACTGGCTTCTCAACATAAGTTAAATCTTCCTGAAGCTCTATACGATCAGGATCTGTCTCCTCCGTAGGTACACGTAAACATTTCTTCAATTGAGACACATGGAACACGTCGTGTATTCCCGCCATTGACGGAGGCAACTCTAACTGATAAGCTACTTCACCTCTTCGACTCACTATCTTAAAAGGTCCCACAAAACGCGGTGCCAATTTCCCTTTGGTTTGGAAACGATGAACTCCTCGTAACGGCGTAACCCGTAGATATACACAATCTCCTTCTTCAAAAGCTAAATCTCTGCAACGATTGTCAGCATAGCTCTTTTGACGCGACTGAGCAATGCGCAACCTTTCTTGGACAATCTTTACTTTTTCTTCTGCCTCTCGCAATATGTCTGTCCCAAAAACTTGACGTTCACCGGTTTGATCCCAAAGGAGCGGCGTACGGCACTTTCGATCATATAATGCTTCATTCGGAGACATTTGCAAACTAGCTTGATAACTATTGTTATATGAGAATTCCGCATACGGCAAATTATTATCCCAACTTCCACCAAAGTCTAGAACACAGGCTCTCAACATATCTTCTAAAATTTGGTTTACTCTTTCCGTCTGACCATCTATTTGAGGGTGATAAGCAGTACTGAAATTCAAACGGGTACCCAATTCTAATTGTAATTTCTGCCAAAACTTCGAAGTAAACTGGCTACCTCTATCTGACACTATCTTCTTAGGAACACCATGCAAACATACCACTCTGGCCATGTATAACTCTGCAAGCTTATTCCCCGTGTAGGTTGTTTTGACCGGTATGAAGTGGGCGACTTTTGTCAACCTATCAACCACTACCCAAATAGAATCATGTCCTGCCGACGTTCTGGGTAGACCGGTTATAAAATCCATTCCTATTTCTTCCCACTTCCACTCTGGAATCTTCAACGGTTGTAACAGACCGGCTGGCTTCTGATGTTCTGCTTTGACCCGCTGACATACATCACATAGAGCCACATATTCTGCTATCTCATGTCGCATACTGGCCCACCAGAATTGTTGCTTTAAGTCTTGATACATCTTAGTGCTTCCAGGGTGAATGGAATACAAAGTTTCATGAGCTTCTTTCATGATAGTATCCTTCAACTCCTTATTTTCTGGGACGCAAATTCTTTCTCCTAACCACACAGTACCTTGCTCATCTTCTACAAAACCGATGGCTTTACCTCTTCGCATGTTCTTTTTAATTTCTTGTATGTCAGGATCATTCACTTGAGCTTCTCTGACTTGATCAAACAGAGTAGGTTTAGCTTCTAATGCGGCCACAAAACCTTTGCTGACTATTC